TAAGAACTGCAATAATAAGCATATGTATGAGCAAGATAACCCTAGTAACACATTAAAAAGAGAACACCGAGTAATAATATTGTTTGCAAATAACTGAATAGATAATATAGCAATATGTACAAAATCACAACACTGCGGGAAAAACCCTAAGTATTCTACAAATAGCATTAAATGGACGCATTATCATAATAAAGTCATCCGGCTGGGATAAATAGCCTAAACGAGGAAATGTAGGCATCGTACTGCTGCTGGTGCTTTGGGACAGCAGAAGGGTACAGTGTGTCCATTGCATGTTTCTGGCTGCGTCGTGGCTGTGGACAGTCTCTCCGCGCACCGGGGGAAGCAGCCGCCACCTCCCCGGTGAATCTCCCGCTGCCGCGTGAAGCAGCTTATTTATACTGACGGATCCTCCCAGGAACCGACTCTGATCCGCACTCACGTCGACTCTGGGCGTTAATGAAAAGATAGCGGCGTCTCGTACGTGACGAAGCCCACGCCACAGACGGGGAAGACCAGAAACTGAAAACAAAGCTTTCCTGAGATGTTATTATAAAAGCAACGTGAGGTGCAGTCTACGTATATGTGCGGATTAATATCTGGCACCAGTTAGGGGTCTCACTAAAGCCCGCTAATGTGATCAGCGAGGCCGGTCTGTGCACAATTTCAGTTTGTTTCAAAGGAGGCATCTTGCTTGTTTAGATTTTTCCACTCGTTGTGCAGAATTAGCGTCAATAGTTTCCTACAGCTGGCAGTGTTTTCAAAATCTCTATCCCCTGTAAATTATTTAGAATAAATCACGTTCTTAATTTTTATCTTAACCGTTTTACCACTGTTTAATCAGCAAGAACCATGTTTTAGTTTATTTTTTAAATGTGGCTGTTACAGCATCTTCGTGGGCTTGAGAAGCGGAGGAATCTGCTGGATTAAGCTCCCCTTTCATGGGATTAAATGTGTGACATATGTATTTTTGAATTACAAAGTGCACAGATTTGTTTACATTTGGTAATGGTGGTGAAGTGGCCTTCCTGAACCAAAAGACACTATCCAGCTGGGAAATGGTCAGTGAGGACTTCTAGAAAAGTTCAGTGTTGGTCAGCTGCCTTACGTGAGATTTTTAGTTTGAGACAAGCCTGCACACACATGCAGATGCATTTACTTGTATGTGGGTTTTGCAAACTACCCGAATATTTTTGATGTAGCTAATTTTAGGTTTATAATGGAATAACACAGATTTGCTGTAAGATTTCTTGCACGAGCATGAGATTCTGAATGCGTGAGTGTCATGTCAGATGCGTGAGAGTTGGCAACTGTGATAGCTGATCACCTTTGCTGTTGCATCATATTTCCAAAGTGGGCTAGTGAAATTGTACCGTACAGCTATATTTGTACCATACGTATATATATGCACACACACACACACACATTTATAATACAGTACAGTTTGTTTAGAGTTTACAGAGCCAAGCCACGGTCCAAGGCACATTTTCCTTTTTACTGAGATAGTGAGGGTAACAGGCAGATGTGTCGTCCTTTCATGGAGCTCAAATTGAAGTTCTGCCTTCTTGAGCAGTACCCTACCCACCCAAATGCCTACATTACCCCTTTGGGCCACTGCTTGGAAGGTTGCCATGCCCTCCCACCCAAATGACGGTCCACACATCTGGGAAAGACGGACATCAAGCTCAGCCAATGAACTCATCCCCCTGTTGCCTTTCTCCGCCCATAGTAGGTGGCCCCAGAATCTTTATCCTCTTAGTTAAAAAAAAACAACAAACAGAAGGCTCTTGGCCGCTACAATGTGTCACATAACAGAAATCTCTGTACTGGTTCCAGGACAGAGTAGAGAGTTGTGGTGGCAAGAGGGAGGAGGGGACACCCATGGATCCAGCATTTCCACGTGGGGGCTGCGCTCTGACCTTCATCAATAAAGAAGTATTGTTTTCTTGGAGCAGATGCAAACAGAGTGAAAGACAGCGGGTCATAAATCAGGCAAAACACCTCACTGAACGAAGCTGCCCCATTCAAACACAAGCTCTTATCAGGAAGCCAAACCCACTGCAGCAATTATTGCCTTTCGGTGTTATTGCTTTTACACCTATTTGAAAAATTTGTCATATTTGAAAAAAGCAAAAACAGATCTCCAAACGATCCCTGTATGTTTATGCAAGAGATATTAATTAGCTCCCCTTCTTTTTCTGACATTTAACACTATAAGATTTTCTTTTTATTAAGTCCTGTTACTGCTTCATTTGTGTTATTTATTAATCAAAACCAGGGGCCATTCTGTGACATAGAATAACATGTATTTTTATGACAAACTTTTCATGGTAATTTGCATGTTAAGAATTACGGCATTTTATTTCATGCTGCACTCTGGCCTATTGATCATTTTGGTAACTGGTTTCTAGCTGCATGAAAAGCGTGTTCTGCTGCTGCAAATGAACTGCCAGAATAATCCTTCATTCTTCTAGCTAGTTAATACAAAGCTGAAAAAACAACTGATCGCACTGGCAATATCATGACTACAGATGAAGAAGGATGAGAATTTGCTAAAACACCCATATCCTCTCAGAAGCTTATAATATTAGGGGTTTACTATGGGAGGACCAGATGAAGTGTCCTGGGTTTAAGGGGGATTCACATTAAGTGAAATACTTGCAATACATCCTTCCCATAAGGCTGGTTCTCAGGAGTTCTGCACCTGAATCATGCTGAGTTTAATTGCATTGATTCAAGGATAAAAGCCGATCCTTGTTCAAACTGGATGCAATTAAAGAAAGCCATTCTATGGTGACAGCCTTCACGTCCAGCGAGATCTGTAATTCTGTGTAAGTCTAATGCTGGTGGTGTGAATGTTAATATAGTACTCTCTGTCTGATCGGTATCAGGCAAAATATATTCATGTATAAAAATGCATGAATGAACCCACACAAAGCAACATCTTTAATTTACTTGATTAATTGCCGATTGTCACAGTTCCTGAGGGTTTGGTGAATAGGGAAGGAGAAGATTGAACAAGTGTGACTCACACACTAAAGCAGAGTTAGGCTGCTCTCAAATCCCACTTCAGATCCCCACTAAGATATCGCTCGTGGCCACCTTGCTTTCCTCTATATCTCCGGTTAAGGGAATCAGTGAAAAATAAAGGTTCATGTCCTAAGTCACGTCAAACACTAGCCTTTGCAAAACCAGATGGCAAACCAAGGAGTGGGGCATCAGCTCCATGGCAGGCCGGCACATCCTAGACAGAGAAGGGCATCAGCTCCATGGTAGGCCGGCACATCCTGGACAGAGAAGGCCCAGCAAACTCACTTCCTGTAGTGCTTTAGACAGGCAATACAGCCCCTTCTCATCCCGTCCACCTTTTACAGAGACACCATCCTGAGTGTCCTTACAGACTGTACAGACTGCCTCGGACCGCCAGGCCCTCCAGCGGGTCGTTTACAATGTCCACTGCCTCCAGAGGACGGCTGGCATCACCCAGAACCCCTCACACCTCTCTCAGAAACTCTCTGCTCCACAGCTGCCTGCTAGGAGGTTCTGCAGCCTCAAAGCTGGAACAGCGAGGCTTAAAACAGCTTTTTTTTTTCATCATATCATCTTGACTCCTGAATGGCCCCTCCCAGTAAAAGATTGGGTCTGTTAAAAGGACTAATTACTCTGGATTCAAAACTTTATATTTAAATTTTACTTACAGTGCAGTCCGCTTCCATACCAAACTTCTATACCAAATTACAGAATCAGGTGGGTAACTGTAGCTCTTTGTCCCTGTCTTGATGTCCATGTTGTAAAATTACAACACACAAACACACACACACACAAACACACACACACATAAACACACACATATACTCATTTACACTGTAAAGAATGACGGTTCGGCTCAGTGTCTGACTCCACACATCATATATCTGAAGCTGACAATAAAAGATATTTTGACTTTTTGACCTCACTTTGAAGTCAGTTACTCAAGCGCAAAAAATTTGGCTTTAATTGCTATGTTGCATTTTAATAGGAAGAAATTGAAATGTGCGTTTCAGGTATCTGGGACTGGGAATCTCACAAAATCAGTCATTACATGTAGCAACTAATAGCTTGCCAACCCCAAAATGCCTTGCAAGGATGTTTGCAGCCCATAAGACATACTGCCAACATTTTTTGAAGTGTCTGTTTAAATGCTGAATAAATAAATACATGACCAAGGGTGGAACTGGTCAAAATTATAATCCTTGCCTACGGCTCAGTTTTATGCTCTTGTGTGGGATTCTGTCATTGCACAAAGATTATATTTATATTAGTTTCAGGGGAAAAAATGATTTCTGGGTGCAGCTGTGTGAACAATGCCTGTGCAATTTAAACAACAGCTGCTTTGTACAGTATGGCTTTCACAGAGCTTCCTGAAAAAAGTTAATGAATATTATTACCATTGAAAACATGAGTGTTGCCTCTGAAGAAACCCACAAAAAGTTCCACACATTCTTTAAGAAGGACCATCAAGCAAATTATTCTGGCTGTCTCACTCAGCCTGCAGCGGTTGCATTACTACTGTGGTTGTCATGGCAACCTTGACGTCTCCCATTCTGTTGTTTTTAGTTATATACAATATTCAGAAATTTTAGTAGTTCTATATAGTATCTTGTATTATTGAATATAGGAAAAATAATAAGGGAATTTCTTTAAACATCACATGGACTTTGGCAAAAATTTACTTTAGAAATGTGGAGATTTTGTTAATTATTTTCTTATGAGTATTCACGAGGAAAGAATGTTATCATCTCAAGTCATAGAAGCATAATTTGACCTTTGGACAAGCGTGCACAAAATGTTACGTAAGTGACATCTGCTGGTCATGCTGTGTTGCTACATTTTTTGGCGACGCATGCTTAAAGAATCACGTGATCACTGCTAATGCGCCTTGAATGGAAGCTACCATGTTTTTGGAATCATTTTCTTAATTTATAATATATTAAGCGTGTATAAAATAAAAATTAAAATAACTAAAATAATTTTATACATACATATATACACATATTTTAAATAAAATGCACTATACATTGAAAATTCATAATCCACTTGTAAAACCCGTAAAACAGAATTGGTTTCTCTCACAGAAAATGGCAGCCACCATGAAGAAGAATGTTGTAAGTTAGCGTCCCTGTTTCAAATATTGCAAGCTTTTCAGTGTAGTTTAACAAGAACCTTTTAATCGTATTGTGTACATTAAGACTAAGGCAGGTTTTTTGCGTTGTATTTTTTGGTTTACTGATCATTTTGATAGCTAGTTACTTATTGTACGAAACCATGCTCCGCTGCTAATGAACAACCCGAATAATCTTTCATTCATTTATCCATTAATTACATAGCGCAAAAGCAAATAGTTTGTTTATTATCTGATGTCACTTACAGTTTGTATAGCGTCATCATAACTTGCTATCTGTCGTGTATCTTTTTACTTCACACGATGCAGACATCATCTGTCCAGTGACGCGGGCGACAGGTTTATGTCTAAAAATGTAACTGATTAAACATTTAATAATAAAGTTTAACAAACATTACTAATCATAAGTAATAATAACCGTTAAAACCCCCCAGCTGTATCAAGGTCGATTGTTCAACCACTACATCTTACCGCTTAATTATATCTCGTAGAGTGCTGTGTTCATATGTATGTGATTTGTAGGCGGTGGAAGATGTAAACGTTACCTTTGAAGACCAACAGAAGATCAATAAGTTTGCCAGAAGCACAAATCGTATGACAGAACTAAAAGATGAAATTGAAGCAAAAAAAGTAAGCTCCGTTAATTCTTGATTGTTATAAACGTTATGTGTTGTTATAATATTATTTCTTAAAATTATGAATGAAATACCAATAGGTTGATGGCTGCACTGTGCTGTATTTTTTCATATCAAATTTTCTTATTAGAAATCGCTACAAAATTTGGAGGATGCCAGCGATGACATCATGATGTTAGATGACGACACTTTGCTCATCCCGTTTCAAATTGGGGATGTCTTTATAAGTCATACTCAAGAAGAAACACAGGAGATGTTAGAAAATGCAAAGGTATGCTTTCTCTGCTGTGCGTAATGGTTATTTTAGGTATTTATGGGAAGTATGCTTTTTGTGCAACACAAGTCTGAGATGTGATTGCTGGGATTTAAGTCTGAGTATCGATGTTGGATTATTTTTTCAGTTAATACTAAGCCCCAGTCAGACTATAATAACAAGCTGTTTAATGGGGTGCCACAGTTGCCTCACACCTGCAGTGATGGGGTGAGAGTTCCACTCCTGACTGTGTGTTCAGTTGACATTATCTCCCAGTGTTTGGGTGTGTGTCCTCCTGCAGTCTTGAAGCATACTGCTAGCTGAATCGGTGCTTCTGTGTGCTTCAGTGGGGTAGCATTCTGTGCAGTGTGCTGTACGGTACTGGATAAGCAGTGATTGGTGGGTGTCTTGTTGAAATGCCTGGATCTGGAAATATCATTTCTACAGCAAACTTAAGCAACACATGCTGTCTTAAAATGACTTGTCTGATATAAAGTTTAATTTGGCAAGTAAGGATATTGACTGGGCTGAAGAATTTAAAAAAATAAAGTCATGTATGACAGCAACCAAGACGCAGGCTTGGAAGGACGGGTAGCTTATCTCTGTCAGCTTTGTCTCTCAGTAAAACAAGTTTGTTTCATTTTCTCTGAAAGAAACAAACTTGTTTTTTTCTGAATTCGAAGTGTAATACTTAGTTACCCCCAAAAGTTGTAACAATGTTAAGTTGTTAATGTGGGGTGCGTGAGATGTGACATGTCCACACATTCTATCCATCTTAACCTCCTTATGCTGCTGTTCTATAGGTATTATTGAAAGAAGAGATCAAGGCACTTGAGGGCCGGGTTTCATCAATACAGGGAGTCCTAGCAGATCTGAAAATCCAACTCTATGCCAAGTTTGGGAATAATATAAACCTGGAAGCAGATGACAGCTGAATCCATGATAGGCGAACACCTTTATGGCATTTGAGAAACTTTCCATGAAAATCACAGTTTGGCGCCCCCTGCAGGGCTGTCCATTAACCTGCCAAATCTGTTTATTAATGTAATTTCTCTCTTAGGGTAATTTATCTGCATCTTAATTTCTGTCATGTGTATTACCAGATTATTTGTGTAAACATCTGAGGTTTATTGGATAAGAATAAATTCATTCTGTGGAGCCAGTCTCTCCTGTCATTTTGTGGTTTAAGCCTTCGGCTGTGAATTAAAATGTGCATTATGTATGGAGAGTGTCCCTACTGTCTATAGATGAGTAGCTCTGCCTCTGTTTGCACGTTACATTACACACATGCATCATAATGAACTTTAAGGGTAACCGTAGACCCAATAAATAAGCACATGCACAAATAGATAAATGCATAAAAATAAACTTAATTGAATTTGCGTGGCACGTTATAAAGCTGGAAGGCACAATATGAGCTGACAAAATTTCCATGTTGTCACGCTGGAGGCAGGAGACTGGCGTGCTGCTTAGATTTCATGGCACATTTAATTAGCTGGAGACACCAAACGAGCACTTCAGGTTCATTTTCACTTTGTTTCAGACAGAAGCAGATTTTCGGTTGTCTCTTGGCATTTAGGGATTAAATTTGCATAAGTACGGAAATTAACAGTACTTAATCTATTTGAGCTGCAAACATGAATATTGCCAGTTTCATCTGGCTCGATTATTTCCTGCATACACTTTTAAGTGAACATTACAAGTATTTTGCTAGTCAGGGCTTCCAGTCATCAGTTCCCAGTACACCTTCGGGCTGCCCACTGCACAGTATCTACTGTATTTTATTAACTAAAGCTCTTTGCCACAAAACTAAATTTGCCATTTCTACATCTAGCTCAGTAGCGATTATTTTAAGTGTTAGAAAACCTTTGCACAGTCGCAAGCATTCAGGACCAGAAGCAAAGAAGCTGAGACTGTTGGTAAGTGAATAACAGTATGTGACCCAACCAGAGGATTCGGCACAGGTGTGGCATATAAGGAGGGATAACTAAATGTAGATACCTGTTAAAGTACAGTAATGACAAATGACCTGATTCTGTTTGTTCTGTGAGACATGCCGACAGCTGGACCTAGAGGGACATCTTGACGGACCATGAATCTGCTTTGATCCAAGGTGCCGTGGATTGAGAAAAGATACACAACTATACATCAGCACTACTGATAGTAAACGACCAACCTATAGAATGTGTTACTCTCGTCACACTTCCGCAACTACAAGGTGCTTCTGATCTGGCTTGGGATGAACATGTCAGTTGAAGCATCTCTGTTATCCTCTGCTGTATGATTCATGGGTGATACACTGAGATGAGATTACAATCTCATTGGTCATAGCGCAAGGAACAGTTATAGATGGAATATATATATATATATATATATATATATATATATATATATATATATATATATATATATGACATTTAAACACAACATACTGATGGACAAAGAAATACAATTATTGACATTTTTCAGCGAGTGCAGCCTCAAATTTACTGTCTTAGCATGGAAAATTGTGTAGGCATTCCCTTTGATGTCCTGCTACAAGTCTACAAATTATTTGCAAATATAGTTCTGGATCTCTTCATGGTCTGTGTTACCTAGAAAATGTATCAAATATCCAGAGAATGCACAGCCGAAGTATTGCTGTACCATTGGTGTAGCCCATACAAGGCTGGGCAATCTTGATGACTTGTGAGTGGAGTTGACATTTCAAAGATCCCGTCAGCCTTATACAGTATATGAGCTTCATGCAAAGAGAAACAACAGCAGAACTCCGTTATTTTTTTGGTAAGGGGCTACAAACTGACTGCATCATTTTAGCATCATGAATCATGAATTAATGTAATAAAAATAAATAATTTGGTTTTTATATTCTGATGTGTATTTAATTGTATATTTCTGACACTGTGATACAGTCTGATGTCCATGTTTTTCTTAATCTTGCAATGATATGTAATCCTATATGTATGGCCATCAGTATTTATATTTTTGCATTTAAAATAAAACTAAACTCAGATGGTATCAGTATTTGTGACTAAAATGGGCAGTTTTTTGAGAATGATTTTTACAACTAGTATTATTTTAACACTGAAATAACTGTTTTGGTAAATAAGATAAGAAAATGACTCATTTCAGCCATGCAGACGGTTTCATTCCGTTCGTTTAAAACTGCAGATTAAAGCCGCCCAGCATCATGCAACCGTCCAATGGGATTAGAGCTGTGAGTAGCCATAGAAACACTGCTCCGGCAGACCTTGAATTCTCCAAATATCAGGAACATTAAGCTGCTTATAAAATGTGGTGAAGCTGCTAAGCAACTAGCTATAACTTAATACCAATAATGACAAAATTGCACTGCGCATTATACAGTAGCTTGTTTAATATAGAGGTGGATCTGTATGAGGGAGGTAGCGTGTCAAGATATGGAAGAATGTCTTCCTGAGATATGTATGAAGGAGGCATTCTGTGTTAGAAGAATGTCTACAATGAAGGTTACACTGATTACACTTCATTGATCTACATGGGGAAATTCTTTTGTTGTCTCCCGTCTTGCTTCCTGTAGATAAGGGTAAGCTTGGTTGTGAAGGGCAGCCTCCTTTAGTGGAACCCAGAGAGCTGGGGGTTAAGGACCTTGCTCTAAGGCAGGGGTGCCCAATCTTATCCGCAAAGGGCCGGTGTGTATGCGGGTTTTCGCTGCAACTCCCTAATTAGGTTACTAACTAGAGGGCTGATTGGCTGAAGAATCCTCACACCTGGGTTTGAACAGCTGACCTACAGGTTATCCCAAAAACCCGAATACACACCGGCCCTTTGCAGATAAGATTGGGCACCCCTGCTCTAAGGTATGCCAAAGCCAGGTTTGAACCCGTGACCTTCTGGTCACAGGCACAGAGGCTTGTGGAATGTAGTGGTGCTGCAACAGAACAAATGGAAGAAAGTCGTGAGAGAGGTTTTTTAGGTACACCATCTCAGACAAGTATTTCTATGTTAGAGGAAGCTCTCTTTTATGAAGGTTTGGCCAATAATGTTGGTAGGTCTAGATCTGTATACAGATGGTGGCGTTTCTGTGAAAGGTACAGTATGTCTGTGTGAGAGTCCTTGTCACGCAGTTGCTTGTGCCGAATGCATATAATCTTTGTCAGATTCTGTGAACTCACTTAAGTCTTGAATAAACTTGACTCAACGGATTCAGAGTCCTTCAGCTGGTTTTCTGCCTTAGCTAACCATTGTTGTACTGTTTGACAGTGATTCTTTGTAAACAGGTCACAGTGGTATGTGTATATGATCACATTTTCCAAACCCAGGTTTTGTATCCGCTGTACATGCATTTGGAATGGGTGTATAGCAGTGATCTGGGGTTCCATAGTACATCAAGCACAAAACATAGGACTGTGTGAAAAATGGGCTGAGCACAAAATGGGCTGGTGTGCAGCTCAGTGGGTTGGGAACCTGCGCATATATCCAGAGGCTTGTGGGTTCTAATTCCATGGCGGGTTATAATAATCATATCAGTGTTGAGCCCTTGTCTAAAGCCCTTAACCAATTGTTCCAAAAAAATTGACTAAAGTTTCTGCTAAATAAATATGTGTTTTTACCTCTGGTAGGAAAATATGCATGCTGGATGTATTTCAGGAGAGTTTTCCTGAAGCTATAGCAATTTAAATTTCATGCAATTACCGAGGCTGCATGGGACTGTTATATAATCACATCATGAAGCCTATCCAGGACCTGCCCAGCACTGGCACTTGGTGCAATAAAATCTGCAGTAACCAGCATCAGCTGTGACCTCAGTATGTAAGTCTCTGGATTTAACAGAGAGACATCATCCCAGTAGGTTTCACACAGTATTTGAGACTGACATTGGCCTACCATAAATTGTTAATGAACATGCCTAGCCCACCTCAGATTTCCTTTGCTCTCTCCAAACTTGAGTGAGGACCGGTAGGCAGTGCTCTCCTCCATCCTCCTGTTGCCTCAGACCACCACACTGAACATGATTCCCATTTGTCTCCTTTAAGGAAACTGGACTGAGAGTCGCAGGGCCTGTGCGTGTTATTTGTAATTCTGCGGCTGGGCTGGCCTAAGGCTGGGCGATATGGCAAAATATTTTATCACGATATTTCCCCCCATATCAGTCGATATCGATTATTATCATGATATAATTCAAGCCATAGTTTTTCATTATTGCTCCATTTTTGCTTAAATTAGAATTCAGAACATGGAAAATGACAAATGGACTGCACCTGAAATCTAATTTTAATAAATAGCACTAAAAAATCCTGGGAGCATGTTTGTTGGTTTGTTGCTCGGTTTTTCCTCTGTCTGTCACTCTGCTTGATCCAGGGAACAGGTTTGATGCTGTTGGTAGAGTTACCGTAAGTCCTGTATTTTACAGGATCCTCTATTTTGAAAAATAAAATGTTGTGTCTAATTTATGAGCCACATTTTGTCCCACATATTATGACAATTAGTATATCATTTATGTATCCCAGCCCTAGGCCAGCCCAACCCTTTTTGGGCTCCTAAGTAAAACGTGATTAACCAAGTTGTCATTTGTCATCTTCCTCCCCATTCTGACTGGCTGATCTCACGGGGGCCCCCTGGTGGTGACTGGGCCCTAAGCTGCATACATGCCTGTGCCTTGGACTGGCCCTGATCTGGGGGCAGGGGCATAGGAACCCAGGGGAAATGTACACCCCAGTGTTTCATTTGGCTTAATTTGTCCCCACCAATAATTGACCTGTACACTTGTCGCCACACTTACGTTAATACCCATAAGTACTGATTAATTATACATCTGTCAGGTACATCTGACCAGAGGGTCAGACTGGGTTCCCACACCTCTACTGCTCTCAGTATGAACACCGGGTCCCCGCAGGGCTGTGCGCTCATCCCGCTCCTCTACTCCCTCTACACACATGACTGTGTCCCCACGCACAGCAACAACAAGATCATTAAGTTTGCAGATGATACGACGGTGATCGGACTTATCTTGGGCAAGGAGAGTGAGCTGGCATACAGGGACGAGGTGGAGCAGCTGTCAGAGTGGTGCAGAGTCAACAAGCTGCTCCTCAACACCACCAAAACAAAGGAGCTGGTCATTGATTTCAGGAAAAATAAAACTGACATTCAGAAACTCATCATCGCCGAGGCACAATTGG